GTATATCAGAATCTCTGTTTCGGGTTGGGGCAGGTATTGCTATTTTTTAAATGTTCTCCGGGTGATTATCATAGCCTTGAAAAAGAGCCACAGTCTAAAGCACCTGCTCCTGAATTGGTAAAATATGTCTAACATAAAAATACCCAATTATGCAACCCTTAGCTACTTGATACAGCCAGTTGGAAAGAAGCTAGAATGTACTAAGCAGCCCCTATGTGCCAGGTCCTGGAAGTAGATTTGGTCTCTCATTATGCCCCCACCTGGTACCTCTGATGACTCCTGAGGGATTAGTGAGCATCCTGGAGGGGTCGGGATGGGCACCTGCCCCTTTCCCTCTCATGTATCCATTCCTAGGATGTGGATGTGCTGAGAACTTGAACTGCAGACAGGTCAGACCAGGGACAGGTTCTTGCCTTTTCAGGATGTGTGACCTTGAGCAAGTTAGTCAATCTCCCCAAGGCTTGGTCTCTCCTCTGGTAAAATGGGAACGATGCTTGTAGACTGTGCATTCTATGCAGCTGCATTGCCCCCAAAGGGGTGACATGGGTTCTTTGAGAGAGGCCCAATGGCACTTTTTGTGTGTGAGCAAAGTACAGATACACATACAGTAAATAAACTGATATACAGTGACATTAAAGTGAACAGTTATCTGTGACAGTAAAATCTCATGAGAGTAGTGGCATTTAGGCAAAAATATCTAAAAGGACTTGGTCGGGGCGGGGGGTAGATAATTTTTAAAAGTGGGAAATGCTGCTACAGATCAGAATTGCTATGAGGCTTTAGGAAGTGCCTAAATGCACAGTTGTTGGCACAGAGACTGGTGATGCTTGTAGACTGTGCATTCTATGCAGCTGCATTGCCCCCAAAGGGGTGACATGGGTTCTTTGAGAGAGGCCCAATGGCACTTTTTGTGTGTGAGCAAAGTACAGATACACATACAGTAAATAAACTGATATACAGTGACATTAAAGTGAACAGTTATCTGTGACAGTAAAATCTCATGAGAGTAGTGGCATTTAGGCAAAAATATCTAAAAGGACTTGGTCGGGGCGGGGGGTAGATAATTTTTAAAAGTGGGAAATGCTGCTACAGATCAGAATTGCTATGAGGCTTTAGGAAGTGCCTAAATGCACAGTTGTTGGCACAGAGACTGGTACTCAGACGCCACTCAAGAAATGGTAGATGTTACCTTTATTTTTCAAAACATTCATTCATTCAACATGCACACACTGATCCCAGCTATGCTTCAGGACTGTGTGAAGCTTTATTAGAATCCAGAAGAAAGGTAGCCACCACCCCTGACTTTACCAGTGAGCTAAGCCCACGCTAAGCATGGGAGGCTGTGCTTTCATGAATTGATGTATCCAGGAACTGGGGAACTATGGGGAGACTAAGTCCTTCATTTCCTACTTCTCTCTCCCACTGGGCTCAACCAAGACTAGGGAGACTAGGGGCCTTCATTCTGACCCTGGCCTTGCCTCCAGTGTCTTCTGCTCCCAGAATGGAGAGGAGCCCCGATCCACCACCACTAGAGTTATCGAGTTAAATGGAATCGTTACCGACAGTCTCATGTATGGAAAAGCATTCCGTTCATTGCTGGAGATGTAGAGATGAATAAAAGAGTAAGATCCAACCTCTGCTTTTGGTTCTGGTGGGACAAACAGATACATAAAGTGGGCATGTTGGTGTAACATGATGTGCAAGGCCCTATGTGCAGGGAACTCTGAGAACACAAAGAGGGTGTTTGGAGAGGTTGCTGAGCTGAATCTTAAAGAATGACTAACAGGTAATAGGGTGAAGAAGGTGGGGAGTACCTTCTACCAGAGGAGTCAATATGTGGAAAAAGGTAGAGCAGAACAGCGGGTGTAGGGAGGCACAGGTGTGGGCATGTGTGAGGCTCTGAGTGAAGACAGAGGCCAGAGGGGAGGCCAGCAGACAGCCCAGACATGGAGGGGGTTGGTGCTGGTTTTCGGTGGGGATCCACAGTTATATAAGACTCAGATGGAAGCAGTCAGTTCTATAGTCGTAATGGAAGGGTCCAAAGCTACCTTCATGGAATAAGCCTTTTGTGGCCTTCCAGATCCCACCCTCTCTTCCTTGCTATCTTCCTTGCTCTTTGTTCCCATCTCACTGGCTTAGTTACAGTTCCTTGGCTACCACAGGACCTTTGCATGTGTTATGTTTCGATCTGCCTGGAATAGGTCTCTTACCACTTACAAGGTTTTGGATTAATGTCTGTAATCCAAACAACTGTATAATGCATGCTCTAAGTAAATACTTGTAGAAGAAATATAAGAGGAAAGGAACAATGAAAGGAAGGGAAGGGAAGAAAAAAAGAAGGAAGGAAGTGAGGGATGAAGAAAGGAAGGAAAGAGAAAAGGGAACGTAAGAGACGTAGGTGTGAAACTAGAACCCCCACTGACTTTTGCATACTTTCGCTTGTTCCCACCTCTCCCCAGCTGAGATTGCCTGCTCTGATCCTGCCCAGGGGCCAGGTCCAGAATCAACATCTCGGCAATTCAGGGAACAAGCTGCCAGCAGGCCCTGTCCTTTGAGCAGTGTGCCTCCAGTGGGTGAATGCTAACTGATGATGACCAGGAAAGCAATGGTCATGTCTCTGCTTCGAAGTTCACTTCCACAAACTGAAACTGGGCAAACAAGATGGTCAGAGGAAGTGAGCAAGTGTTGGGAACTGCAGATTCCCAAAAGTCCACTTGTGGGTCCACACAACGATGCCCCTGAAGCTGACGTGGTAGCCAGGAAAGGCTCTGGAGCCCCAACGCAGAGGGAACTCAAGGCAACGCCATGCAACAGGCACCAGGGCCGGGTGGGAACTTGGGAGCAGGACTGAACAGGGTACTCAGGTCATCATATTCAGGTCCTCATGGGATTCCAAGAGGAATCTATTCTACATGGGGTTTGTCAGTTTTGAGGATGTATAGTGGTGAAGGGCAAAGGGACCAGGTTTGGTTTTACAAACTGTGTGAGTTGGGCACCCTCCCTTGCCTTCCTCAAGCCCCAGTCACCTGATCTATAATCTGGGGGTGGGGGTGGGGGGAGAGGGAATCAAAATTGTGCCTCCTTCATTGTTGTTGTAAAGATTAAATAGGATAATCTGCTTAACACTGAGCCTGGCATGCAGGAAGTGCTAAATTTGTGTTAGCCATTATTATTATCAGCTAATATGATTATTACCACCGTAAGAATGATTTTCCCAGGAAAGAAAAATCAGCTCAGTTCATCAGAAAAGTATATGGCTTTAACAATGTACTTGGACCCATGTAGATGTTCCAAAAGCACACAGGAGAGTTCCTAGTAGCAATATTTAAGAGACTTAAACTGGATATAGGCCAAATGCCTGTCCATAGGCAATAGGACAGATAAATAAACGCAGCATAGCCACATGCTAAAATACTATATAGTGATTAGGATAAACAGCTCTGCCTTGCAGCCACATGGTTGAATTTTACAAACATAATGCTGAGTGAAAGAATCCAGAACAAAAGAGCACAATCTGCATCATTCCATTTGTATGAGTGCAAATGCAGGTCAAACTCTGACATCAGAAGTCAGTGCAGTACAGCCTCTGGGGAGGAGTGTAGGGATTTTACTCAGGAAGGGGGAGAGAGAGGAGGACTGATTATATTTGTCTAGGTCTAGGTGCTGGGCCCATGTGTGTGCCCACTTTCTGAAAATTCGTTGAGATGTACGTTCTGATTTATGTACTTTTCTATGTCTATGCTGTGATTCAATTAAAGGTTTACTAGACAAAGCTGTTCAGCAGAGAGCTAAGAAAACAGAAGTGTGGGGAGGAGGAATGCAAGTAGTACATGCAATTCTATGCTTCCACCCAAGGGCCTGGCAGCCTACCGAGGAAGGCAGACAGGCAAACTCGTGCAGACAATGGATTGTGATGCCTTTGGAAATAGAATCCTGTACCAGCTACAGGCACACCATAGAGGGGAGCGTGACCAGCTGTCACAGCTGCTGCTCCTGGCAATGCCCATGTGCTCATGTGGTTCCCCCAGGAGGTCTGCTCTTCCCTGTTCCCTCTCACACATGACTTAGCATTCAACTACAGGGATCTTGCTCACTCCCATCCGGCCACTGCTTACATCTGGGCCAGGCATCATTGGTACAATGTTGAGTTAACTCGTTTTCTTAGCCTCTCCTCCTCTTCTCCAAACCACTCTCTAGAACCCAGAACCACTAAATTACCTCCTTGGATTGGGTCCTTGGGATTTCTAAGAAGCTCCCATGGGATTCTGATGCATCCCAACCCATGGGAAGCACTGTCCTACACTGAAACCAGAACATGCACCTGACCTTGACTATGTCAACACTAAAAATAGTCTAAGGCACCCTAACTCAGTGGTGTTTCCCAATTTATCTCCAAAGGAACATTTTCAACCTCCTTTTCCAACCTCTCCTACATTATCCCCAAAATTGTTGTCTAATTTCAAATATACCTCAAAGTGCACCAAGTTAGTTCTCTTTCTCTGAGTCTGTTTTGTTATTTCACCACCACTATCCCCATGCCTTTGAATAACCTACCATGCCCTCCACTTCCTGGGGGCTTCTACTCTCTCACTCAGCTTCAAGGCCCAGCTCAAATATTGTCTCTATGAAGCTGTGCCTTAAAGCTCCTGAGCAAACTGGTTCTGCCACAGCACCTCAGACATTCCTAAACATCATTGTGTGCTTCACCCACTACATTCAAGGGCAGAGATGTGGTCCTGTTTATCTCTGTGTTTTCATTGATTAGCACCTGCCTTGGTCATGGGAGGTTAGCAAGGATGGGTCTTGATGGAGTGAAGACCTTCAACATGGTCAAAGTCACGGGGGTACAGAGGGGAAGCTGTGGGACAAGGGGCAGCATTTGTGGATCTGGGATGGGTAATGATAATTCACATCTAATGGTCAGAGATATCTTTAGGACAAAGCTGCCCAAACTACTCACACTCCTTCTGTTTTGGTTTGTTTGGTTTTGTTTTCTCCAGTGAACTTCAGTGACTGTAAGGGAAATGACAAGCTACACTACGAGGTCTCAAGCCCATACTTCAAGGTGAACAATGAAGGTGGCTTAGTCGCCCTGAGGAACATAACTGCAGTGGGCAAGACTCTTTTCGTCCATGCCCGGACTCCCCATGCGGAAGACATGGCAGAACTCGTGATTGTCGGGGGAAAAGACATCCAGGGCTCCTTGCAGGTAAGTCAGATGTTTGGGATAACTTGGGTCCAAGGAGGAGCTTAGGGTCTGTATGTCTTATGTGGAAGATGAGTATTTGGTTTATTATTGGCCAAGATTCTTTTGTTGTTACGTATGACAGAAACCCAACTCAAAAATTGGTGGGAGGCTGTGGGGTTGGGGATTGCGGGCTCATGTAATTGTACTATTTCTGAGATAGCTCTGCCTTTAGGCATGGCTATGTACCAGTTCCCAAATGATAGCATCAACGTTGGTTCTTATTTATCTTGTGGTTCCATTTTCCTTCTGTTGGCTTCACTCTTAGACAGTCACATCCCTCCCTGCTTCCCAATGTGGAGGTCTCGGTAGCTCCACGTCTTTCTCCCAGTCTGAAGTCACCCGAGAGACCATCTCTTCCTGATACTGCCAACAAAAGCTTGAAATTGAATCTTATTGGTTCTCACTAGATCATGCATCTATCCCTGTAACAATCACTGTGTCCATTTGGTCGTGATTCTCTGGTTGGCTAAGTCTGGGTCACATGCGTTGTACTAAATCCAGAGTAGAATCAGCCTCACCTAAAATATATAGATTGAGAGTGAAAGAGGGTTACTTATTAAAGTAAATTAGGACCCTATTATCCAAGGAAGCAAAATGTTTGCTGGGCAGGAAAGAACCGCAGTGGTCCACTAGAGTTGTATAGCATAGCGGCCACTGCTTAGGTCGCTGCTCCTTTGCCTGCACTGGTGCCCATTCTTGTCCAGATGCACAGGGGTGCTGATCTTGCACCTGCATACATGTTCACATACTTTGGGAGTGCCACGAGCTGCCCTTGAGGCTTCCTGATTGTGTCATCCATTGCTACCATGGACTCACTTACTTCTCCACCAGGAGCTCAGGGACTCTGGCTTGATTATAGAAAAGGAAGACACCTAGCAAGACCCTAGCAAAATAATCTATATATATAAAACCCTAAGCGACTGGTCGACCGTTCGACCAGTCAGCCGTTTGGCCGGTTGCTATGACGCACACTGACCACTAGCGGGAAGATGTTCAATGCAGGAGCTGGCCCCTGATGGTCAGTGCGCTCCCACAGCAGGAGTGCCGCTTAGCTGACCAATGGGCGCCAGACGAGCGGTGGCAGAAGGTGCAGCGGGACCAGAATGAGCGGGATCGGTGCAGTGCCTGGCCCAGGCTCAGGCTCCTCCCCGGCTGCCTGCCGCTTCGCACACTACTACATCCCTTGGGGGATGTCATTCTGCTGGTTTTGGCCCAATCCCCAGTGAGGGCACAGGCCAGGCTGAGGGACCCCACTGGTGCATGAATCCGTGCACCAGGCCTCTAGTATCAATAATAATGATGTGCCCTATGCTTGGTGCAGCTAGCCTTTTCTCCTACCTGCTGGCCTGGTTTTACCCAGTTTTTCAAAGCCTGTGATTCTCACTGCCTTTTTCCATCTGCCACATTCTCCATACCCTGATTTTTTGCTAATTTTGTTGAGTGGTGGAGTGTGGGTGGAGGAGTAACAGATTCCACAGCTGGGGAGCGGACAGTACAATTGGAAGTGTGAGTGTTGCTTACCAGCCAGTGCTGTGATTTTGGAAAGAATCATGTAACTTCTTCATTTGCAGATTAGACGGTTAAACAGTCTGGGATGGCAAACCAGTGGCATGAGCATTGTCCTACTCTGTCACCACACCCATGGCAAATATTACTCATCACCCCTGGCGTGGCCTGAGAATCTTTTCCAATACAGTGCTTCTGGAAGCTGCCACTATCCATCATTTAGAGATGTTCCTGGATACAGAATCTATTTGCCATCCCTGGGCTGGACAAACTCCATAATTCTCCTTTATTTCTGTGAATCTGTGAGTTAAGGCTAGATAGCCAGCTAAAATGAATCCACGGTGTGCCACTGATGTTTTCAAAGAAAGCGGAGTATTGGTGAACAGATACCATTGCAAAAACCCATTGGTACCACAAAAGCAAGCTTTCCTCTTACTTAGCCATGGTCATTTTCACAGCATCTCACTAACTCATGATATAAATGACAGAAAATACATAAAGCAACAAAATTGCCAGGATGTGCAGCACAAAGTGCTTCTTGGGAACAAGTAAATGGTACAGAGATTCACAAAAGGGGGTTTGTATGTGGGATGGACTGTATTTAGATGTAAAATTGTTCATCATGATAGGTGGCTCATCTTTAAATCCGGAAAGGAAAATGTTATGTATTTATCTTAAAGCAGAACAGAAGGGATTCTGGGCACTTCTGTGGGCAAACTCCACCTTGAGGGGTTGAGAGGTCAGGGTTCAATACCATGAAACTCAGCTTTGAAGACACTGATCTGGAGGCAAGCCCTCAGAGCCTGGCCGTTCCTCATTTGCTGCTCTCTGAGCACGTTATTGACAAAGCTCACTGTGGCCGTTTGCTTCTATACAGCACAGCGGAGGCTGCTGTGCCATTCAGTTTGCTCAACTCCGGCAGAACAGGATGTTCATCTCCCGCCTCCAGTCATTTTACAAGGCTCGAAATAAGCCCGTGAGGCTGCCCAGATGTGTCCATAATAAAGTCCAAAAAAAAAAAAAAAAGCTAGGAAAACAAAATTGCTATCTAAACAATCCCTATGAGAAGAGCATAGTCCTTCAGAGATATTCAGTTGGTATTTTTGAGGCCCTACTGTGTGCAGCCAAGCAGACCAAAAACTAGAGGGGGAAATCAGTGCGTATGCAAGTCAGCTCACTCCTAGACCGAGAAGGAAAACATGTATGTTGATTATGTATCAAGCAGGGAGGCAAATGTGAGTGTGCTGTGTGCCTTCAGAGAGAGGAGAGGGCAGGGACACTGGGTGGTGATGACAGCGATGCTTTCACAGCATTCACTGTATTCACTGTGGGCCAGTGCTGCTTCATGGGCCAGGAATGGGGACTCATTTAATCTTCCCACCAACCTATGAGGCATATGCCACAGCTACCATTTTATATGCGGGGAAACTGAGGCACTCAGAGGCCAACGCAAAACCTGTGTACATTTAACATGCATTATTTCTAACCTCATGACTTCCCTGTGGGGCTGCTGTAGGTGTGAAAAATTGGCCAAGGTCCCCTAGCTTGAAATGGACAGAAATGGGACTGAGATTCTGACTTTTCTGTTCAAACACCCATTTCCTTTCTGCCAGTTGGCGTGTCAGGAGGCTGTGCCACCTGGGTGGCTGTGGCTACTCTCCATTGGTCAGGATGAGTTAGAGCAACATAGAAGGGACAGAGAAAAACAGCAAGTGAAAGCTATGGTTTGAAAGAAGAAAGAGTTACAATTCCGCATCCTGATGATTCTAAACTGTCCAGCTTAGGAGGATGGAGAGGGATTGAACCAATCAGGCTTGGATGTGTGGAATTGGTAGCTCTTGGCGACATCTTGATAGAGGTGTCCAGGAGACAACAGGGAATTTGGGATTGGATCTCAGGGGTAAGGTTTTGGCTTTGGTTTGGAACTTAACTGGGTTCAGATTTGTGCTCCACGCGCCCCCTCCCATGATCATGTGACCTTGGACAAGGCATTCAACCCTCTAAATCTCAACATCTTTAGGTATGAAACAGGAATAAGACTTGAGCTTACATCACAGAATTGTTGGACTGGGCACAGTACCAGATACCAGATAACCATCAATAGTATCTTTTTTGAACCTCTAGAGCAGTGGTTCTCAACCTGTGGGTCGCGACCCCTTTGGGAGTCGAACGACCCTTTCACAGGGGTCACCTAAATACATCCTGCATATCAGATATTTACATTATGATTCATAACAGTAGCAAAATTACAGTTATGAAGTAGCAACGAAAATAATTTTATGGTTGGGGTCACCACAACATGAGGAACTGTATTAAAGGGTCACGGCAGTAGGAAGGTTGAGAACCACTGCTCTAGAGAGATGATAAGCAACTGAAGGCTAAGTGTCCTTCAAAAAAAAGAAAAGAAAAGACATTCTCAGAGAGGGCAGTGGGGAACCCAGCATAAACAAACTGGGAGAGATGGGAGATATGTCACCACCGTGGTTAAATTCTTTAAGATAAATGCAACCCCAGCAAAGCACAGCTCAGCTCAGCTGCAGTAACTGGAGCCCAGCTTGCTAATAAAAAGATGTGTCTCTTATTTTTACCTGCTACCTGTGACCTCCTTTCACCTGGAAAGTCTATAGTCTGAATCTGTGAAGTCTGATTGTTAATGGTTTAATTATAAACTCTCCAGCTCTTTCTACATTTTTAGTGGGCTGCCCAGATGCTAGTACCTGCCTGGGCTGTGTAAGATCACCTTAGATCTGAGTAGGTGGGGGGGCAGTTTAATCCTGGTCTTTGGACAGACGAGGAGGAATTGTTATGGAGGGGCAGGGCTAGCCATGCGTGCACAGAGTAGTTTTCTAGCCTGAGGAGTGTAATGATGAACCCCACTCACATATGTCTGGACAGCCCTGTGGCTTGTCTCCACCAAGTCTGCTGTCCCTCTGCCTGGCAGTGATGAGCAGCAAGACAACAGCGTGTTTAGTGGTGCATTTCTTTATTTATAATTTCATTTATTCATTTATATAGAGAGCTTCAGGTTGCATAGAAAAGCTCTGCTTCATTCCTGATAGTCCTTTGGTAGAGATGCCTTTATCTGCTGTGTGACTCACCAATATCATTTTTCAGCCTGCCCCCCCTGCCCCCCCCCAAAAAAAAGCATAATTGATTTAAATTTTTACATATACATGCATGTATATGTGTGTATATTTCTGAAAGAAACTATAGTTTCCATGACTGTAGATTATGGCAAGGAATTCTGACATCAGTTAAGGATCTCTATGGAGTCAGGCTGGGAAGTAAGAACATCAGGGAGCTCATAGGAATTAAATTTAAATTCCAGTTTGGAAGCCAAAGGGACTGGACCTACTAGCTTCATCTTGAACTGTGGGAGTCCACACTCTGAGCAACTCTAGCATTTAGATCTTGGTGACCCAGCATCTGAGGCTCCTGAACAAAGCAGGAGACGCACAATGTAACAGGGAGAGCTGTGGGAACCCACGGGCTGTGGGCATGGATCTGCTGCTGCTCCAGTGCAAGTCTGATCATTCCCTTCTCCCTCAGTGGGCCCTTGCTTCCTCTTCACCCACGGGGACCTTGGAATAAATTCTGAAGTCTTTCTATGTGTCTGCAAATATCCTTCACAGTCTAGCCTGGCAGGTCTCTGCAGTCTTCCTTCAAGTCTGATTCATTTTCATCTTAAGTGGTTTGACCTGCTGGAATGTCACCTCCTCCAAGACCCTTTCTGGTCCCCTTTCCAATGGAGGGTCTTCCCCTGCTCGTCTCCCTCCAGCACCAGTTCAGTTCCTTCATGGCCACTTCTCAGTTTGTAATTATGTATCTACTTCCTTGTTTGGTGTTTACAGTTTGGCTCTGATGAGACTGCCAGCTCCGTGAAGGCAGAAATATAATCTATTCCAGAGGTCCTCAACCTGTGGGTCACGAACAATGAAAATACATCCTGCATATCAGATATTTACATTACAATTCATAACAGTAGCAAAATTACAGTTATGAAGTAGCAACGAAAATAATTTTATGGTTGGGGGTCACCACAACATGAAGAACCGTATTAAATGGTCGTGGCATTAGGAAGGTTGAGAACCATATTCCCTTGTTCCCATCCTATTTCCTTCCTTCCCTCGTTCCCTTCTTCCTTCTTCCCTCTCTCCCTCTCCCCTTCTTCCTTCCTTCCTTCCTTCCTTCCTTCCTTCCTTCCTTCCTTCCTGCCTGCCTGCCTTCCTTCCTTCCTTCCTTCCTTCCTTCCTTCCTTCCTCCTTCCTTCCTTTCTGCTGTGTCCACTGCTCTATCCTCAGCATCCAGCACAGGGCCTGGCATATGGTTGGTGTTCACTAAATGTCTTTTGAATAAATGGGTGAGTGGAATGAGTGACTCCTTTTACAATTCACCCTACACTGAACCCTGGGCTCTCCTCCCCGTCCCCCAAACAAACCGCTTGTGGTTTCTTGAATTGGCCAACTCTCCCTCCTGACCATGCTGACCGCTCCTCTGTCTAGATTATGCCCCTCCACTGCGACTCTAGCTGCCCCATGGCTGGCACCAACCGACACGGCTTTACTTCTGGACCTGCCAAGATTCCTTTCTTCAAGGCCACCTCTCCGATTGTCCCCTTGGTAACTCAGGTGTTTTTTCCTCCATGTTCCTCATAGAGCCCTGCCTGGCTCCCTCCATCGTAGCACTAAACTGTAACTGTCTGATTTATCATCTGTGGTATTCCCATCCCAGTTCTGAACTTCTGAACTCAGGGACCTGGCTTCCACACAGGGAGGCTAAGAACACTGCCTTGGGGCCAGATGCCTTAGAATAATTCCCACCTATGCTGTAGTTACCTGAGCTGTAAAACCGGTTCATAACTATATCAATTTCATAGATAATGCCGCAGATATTAAATAAGTAAACATATGCAAAATATTTAGAACAGTGCTCAGCACAAGGTAAGTGCAAATGCCAGTTGTTTCTCATCATTGTATCATCAAAGCCAGGCCTGTAGTAAATGCTAAATGAACCAACCAGGCAAATTGAGACAACCCAATCCTTCATCCCTTCTCTATATGACCAAATTGCCCCACTTCTACAATCTGTAGAGAATTCAGGATTACAAGGAAACTTGAATCATATCCATTCTTATTGCTCAGGTACCCACTTTATGTAAAACACTGACTAAACTTCTAAGAGAGGATTCTTTATTTCTATGGGTCCACTAAAAAATCACCAAAAGACTTGGCAGTATCTGAAAGTTAATTATTAACAATTTACACTTCTTAACTGGAAGCCAGTACATGGTGTACCCACTGGTCTCAATCAAGTTAAATGCAAATATATGTATGTATCCTTCCCTTTTTGTCATTTAAAAATCCCTGAAAAAATAAAATGAATAGAGAATGTTATGATAGAGACTTAAAAAGCTAAATTTAAGACTTATTTGTCTTGGAGATCATCATCACTGTAAACATGCAGTTTAAAAGACTCCTAATTAGTTTGGCTCCTAATTCAGTTTCAAGAATCAACATATAAATCGTTCCAAAAAAATAAAATAAAATGAGCAATTAGGAAAGGAACAACTTTAGAGAAATAGTTGTTTTTTGTTTTTAATGTTTTAATTAAAAATATAAAACATGCCATCCAGTGTTCAGAAGCCAATATTAATATTGCTGCTACTCATGTATCTTGACCCTTAGGGGGATTATACCACTTAAGCCACTGCTTCTCATAGTCTTAGGGTTGTATTTGGTAAGTACCTCTAGGGAATGGTGGGCCTGAACCTCAAAATCAGCCTCTGGATGCCCCTCTGTTACTGTATGTATGTGTGTGCTCCGAGACATTTAGGTGAGTTCTTGTAGATGTTATGAAGGGGGGTCTGGAATGACCCAAATGGGGATCTAAAAGTCATCTTCCTCCTTTGAGTTTCAATTTTTCATCTGTAAAATGGCGATAATACCCCAACCTTAACTTGATGCCATAATGAGGTACTCAGAATGTAAAAAATATATTGTCCCTAACCCAGTGCTAACACAGGTTTAGCACAAAAAATCACATCTATAGATGAGTGAATAAAGAAGATATGGACTATTACTCAGCAATGGACTAATACTCAGCAATAAAAAGAAGATTGAAATCTTGCCATTTGCAACCACATGGAGAAACCTAGAGGGTAGTATGCTAAGTGAAATAAGCCAGGCAGAGAAAGACAAATGCTGTATGATTTCACTTGTCTATGGAATCTGAAAACTTAAAACAAGTGAACAAACAAAACAAAAACAGACTCAGAGATATAGAGAACCATCCTTTGTTCTTAACCAAAGGAGCCCGTGAGTTGTTATCACCTCTGTATTTTTTTCATCTTTTCTGATCTCACACATTCTATACAAAAATATTGTTGCACATTTGTTACTGAGATAAACTCCAATTTTTATCAACTCCAAGCCAACCATCTGAATCACTTCTTTTCGTTTGGCCATTTTGTCATCTCACCTCCAATGTGCCTGTCATGCTGCTTGCAGGTGACTTGACTTCATTTATTAAAGCACCATGAGTATGAGAGCATCCAGCTTCTGGCATAATTAATCGCCTTGTCTCAAGACCTTATCACATTGACTGGGAGTGGCGTGGAGTCCGTTGAGCTGGTCAATGATATCGATCTGGCTCACATGAAATATGTTTCACAACAATCGAAGTGGAGAACCAATCTGTGCACTGAATGTGGCTGTAAAGAAATGAGGAGTTTAAAGCTGTAGCTACTTAACATGCACCAATTTAACAAGTGGGGTAATTTCAAAAATCTGTGAAGCACCACTTTTCATGGCAAAATCCTCCCAAGTTACTATTAGGGAAAATTGGTATCCATTTAACTGTCATGCAAAATAGGGAAAATATATACGTATCTCAAAAGAATTATGGTACAGCTCCAAAAATTGGGCCTGGAATAGGGTATTAGGCTGTTATATTTTGACACATGCCTAAATTGTTATGTTTATGATTCTTGGCTCTAGGATACTGTTCAAATATAGATAAAAATAAATAATTTGATTCATTAATTTAAGAAGATAACAGATTGATTTGTGGATCAGAATCTAATAAAACTATATTCTGAAGATTAATTTTAATTGAAATGCTTGGGGGAAAATAATTGATCCCATAGAAAGCCTAGATAATTAAAACTAGCTCTTTTTTTTGGCTTGTGGAAACTCAGCATTCCATGTTTGCAGCAGATAATACAAAAGAAAAAATACTGTAAAGCACATATATAATTTTAAGTTTCCATATAGTGACATTAAAAAGACAGATGAAATAAATTATAATAATGTATGTATTATTTAACTATATATTTGTATTTAACATATATATACACACAGTGTACTAGTATATATATCTTATACCATACACAGGTACACACAGATAATATATACATATTGGATTAAATTTCATAGATATATATACTATCTGTATATTTATATATTATAAATTTAACCCAATGTACATATAAAAACCTAACATATGTATTAGGATACATAATTTTATAAGATATTATGTCAACAAGTAATCAATGTGAACATTATTAATGAAATGATTTTTACATTCTTCCTTTCATTCTAAATATTTGAAATTCATTGTATATTTTACACTTATAGCAGATCTCAATGTGGACTAGCCAAATTTTAAGTGCTTAATAGCCACAGATGGCAAATGGCTACCGAGTGGACATGGCTGCCCTAACGTCCTATGGAAGATTTTGAAAGAGAGATGGAGTCATTCACTGAGTGCCCACCACGTGGGAGGGCATTCTTACCTGCTGTCACACATACGTCAATTCTCAGATCCTCATGGCCAATCTCATTACTCTGTTGGTAATCCGGTTCCTACTCTGCAGATGCAGTAGTTCAGGCCCAGAGAAGTTGTGTAAGTCAGCCAGGCACCATCTGCCAGCAAATGGCAGAACTGGGAGTTGGGCCTGAGCCTTCTGACTTTATGCAGCCACTGCTATTTTGGTAACACTACTGACATTTAAAACAGAACCGGTGCTTTCCTGTTCTCCTGGAAATGCTATAAAAAGACAGGAAAATAAAAAGTGATTAGAATCTTTTTAAAAAAATCAACACAGAGCTGAGCAAAACTCCTAAAGAAATTTTAGGTATAGGACAAGTCTTGTATTTTCACGACACTTTTTTAAAAAACTTTTCTCATGAGTAGAATCTTTGAGAAAGGACTTCATGAAAACAGCACAATGTTTCCAAATGGAATTGTCTCTCAGGCCATCAGACCTTATCTTACTCATCTTGATAGTTTTGGAGCATAGGGAAAATACCTTACATTTATATTTTTAAAAATAAAATTGTATTTTCATAAGCATTGTTTGGATTTAACACTTCCTTGAAGCAGATGATGTTTTTCCTGTTTTATGAGTCATGAAACTGAGATGAACAGAAGTCGAGGGGTGGCTCTCAGGTCACAGGCTGGTCAGGTGTCCACCTCAGTATGCAAATCCATAGCAATGCCCTTGGTCCAGGGTTCCGTCCACAGCTAGCTTTCCAGCAGCTTCTGGGGCTTTTCCAGTAAAAGAAATATAGCATCATCAGACATGCATTTTCACCTTGTACCTTTGATGGCATAAGATAATGTGATAGAATGCACATTGTTCTGGTTTCTCTGATATGCTTCTAACCTCCTTTTATTATTACCATAAATCAAATACAAGTGTATTCTCAGTGTAAATATTGAAGTGTTGACCTCTTTTTAAAATCCCCTCTTATCTGTCATGTGGAAATACTTGGTCACAATGGGCTTTGCCACTTAGTGTGGCTGTTCTTATTAGACATGAAATGACATAAAAAATTTCAAAGTGATTAGGAAAAACAACCTGAGTGGTGATCTTGAATAAATTTTATGTAGGTGGACAAGCCCTGTGTTGTCATGGCACTTTTAAAATACTTTCCTCACGAATAGAGCCTTTGGAAATAGAACCTCATAAAAACATCACAAGATTTCCAAATGTAAATGTCTCCTAGACTACTCTGTAAAAGTCTGGTTCTCATTTCTGATGGAAACATACAAACAAACAAACAAAAAAAAACAAAAACCAAAAAACTCCAGTGATAACAGAACACAATTATTTATTTAAAAATTTTATTGATTGGAGAGAAAGAGACATCGATTTGTTGTTCCATGTATTCATTGTTGGCTCTTATATGTGCCCTGACCCGGGATCAAACTCGCAATCTTGGCGTGCTGGGATGATGCTCTAACCACCTGAGCTACCCAGCCAGGGCCAGAACACAATCTTTGATACAGACCATGATTTTCCCCATTTGGATCTTTGGTCTTAATACTCAAATATTAGGTAACAAAGGAACAAGGAGAGAATGTACCATTTTTTCAGTCCTTCTTTGCTTGGTACAGGGGTCAATCAAATTACATGGTCTTCACCCAAACTTTTAAAGCAGAAGTCTGAGCATTTGGAGAAAAAAAATAGCAAAGTAGAACATTATGGCCCCAGCCAACCATCTCCTCTAATCTACCCACATTGGGTAGTTATCCGTGGACTGTTGGTCTCTGTGGCCTGGCCTTGATTTGTGATAAATGCTAGAGTGGTAACGCCTCTTGAGCCACACTGTTGATGCTGTTTGACTCTAAATTTAACTGCTTGTTGAGGCAAAGCCAAGTTGTGCCTCAAGGTATCACACAGATAAACAGGAAGCACTTTCAACTGTGGCCAGGGCCTGATCTCATACTCTATTTTCTCTTTTTTCGAGCTCCTCTTATAACAGAAGTAGAAACCCTCTGGTTTATACCCCTAGGGATGCCACATTAAAGATTACAACAACAACAAAGACTGCCTATGTCCTACTGGGGTCCACATCAGGACTGATATTTTTATTTACCAAATTGCTTCTATCTTTTTTAATAAGACAAAAAGGTAGCAATACTCAAAAAGCAAATATTGTGTGCAGTCATCAAAGTCTGATGATTTCTTTAACACAAAGTAGATTTTGTTAGCACTTGCTTTTCTTTCTCTATCATGTAAAGGAAGATCAATTCTCTAATAAAAAATACTTTAAGTAATACCCCACATAGCATTTCAGAATTTGACATATCAATGGACTTACACATAGGCAGAGAAAATTTTAAATGATAACAAAGATGGCATATTTATGCCCTTAGCAATTCCCACTCTTCAAAGACTGGTGAGCACAATCAATTGGGGAGGCCTTTAAAAAGAGAAAGAGCTTCCCTTGGCATAGAGTAATATGAATATTCCAGGGCTACTCAAGGTAAATCAAACTCAACAAATTTGAGACTCTCCTCTAAGCAAACGTTCCAAAATACCCTTGATTGAAAGGCAGCTTCAGTTGGAGGGAGCTTATTGCTCTGACCCCATTGATCCCAGATTTCCCTCCAGCCTTACAATCCCAAAGGGGAAGTGTAGAATCTTCTCTACACTTTTTCTCTTCTACCAATAAGAGAAAAGTGAACCTGAGATGCAACAGGGTGTTTTTCCTTCCTGATATCAACACTGTTCTCCTGCCTCTGGCTATTTATGGAAATCAGATAGTTCCTTCAATTTTCAATTATTTTGAAGCAAAACCTTTTGACAAAAGGTTGGCATTGTCAACCAACCCCTTCATCATATCAGGCAATTTAGGCTTCTATTGACAGCAGCTACAACTCCCTTTCTTTGAAGTTACAAAGCTATAAACAATGGTAATTCGCCAAGCCACCCAGGAAGAGCCTGAATAGCTATAGCCAGGCTTTTCCTGCAGCTCTCCCCTGCCCATCGCTCTCACTCCAGATGACTGTGGATGCCATTCTTTTATTTTTTAATTTTTTTTGCCTCTACTGTGAGAGTTAAAACAACTAATCAGGATGCACTGTTTTCTTCCTTTCATTGTGCATTCTCACAAACTCCAGTTAACACAGATGGCTGAGACTTGACTACTTTTTTATTCCAAATCCCTTATTTAATTTAGACCTTGTTAGCAAAGTCTAGCCCCTACTAGCATGACCATCAGTCTTATTTGCCTAGTTTTCCTGGAATTTCCCCTTTCACTCAGGTCTTTAGATATTTTCTCTAAAGTGGGAATGCAGAAAGTAAAAAAGAAGACTCAGAAATGGAATCAAAGAAAAAAAAACAAGTGCTGAAAATAATATTCCCCCCTATATTTTTGTCAAATTCTATGTAAATCTTATAATTTCAGTGTTGTTATTAGGTAAAGTAAAATTATATTCCCTGTAAGGATAGGGCTCTGACTGACTTGTTCATTGCTTTAAATCTAGCACTTAACATAATAACTGTCATTGAATACTTATTGAATGACTAAACAAATGTCAGAGATGGAATGAAAATTGATGTTATAATGCTGATCATAGCCAACATTTATTTAGGTCAAACTCAATGCCAGGTACCACTCTAAATGCATTTCTTACATTAAGTCATTTGGTCTTTATGACAACTCTGTGAAATAGGAACTATTATCTTCATTTTACAGACGAATAAAGTAAGATATGGAAAAGATATGACTTGCCCATGGTTGAACAACTACATAGAATATTTCAGAGGCAGGCTTTGTCCTCAGATACTCCAAAAAAGCATTGAACAAAATATCTTATCCTTTTTTTCAATATAGAGAAATATGAGCTAAACATTACTAAAGTAGATTCAGATTGGTTGAATAGATGCATCCAAGAGATCTGAAAAATAATCTGCCAGCCTAAAGAATGGCTTCTTCATGCAGTCAATGGCTCTAACTGACTGAGTTTAACCCAATGATGAAAGTGAAGATATGGAAACAGGTTTTTTTAGTTTGTAACTTTCACAGCCCCATGATCCTCATTGCATGAGAGATTTAAGATTCAAAAAGAAGTCAAGTATCTATAAGGATGGGCTGAAATCAATAAGGCTGTATCAATAGGTATAGATGTGGAGCCTCAGCTATTGGAAAACAGTTTCTGGAAAACGGATGAGGGTGAGGTGGCAAGGACTTGGTTGATGAGGCATTCACTCTCATGAAAGTACAGCAAGTTGTTCTGTACAGGATCCTGCCCTTTTTGCTACCCTGTAATTATACACCCTTACTTTATTGTTCATTGCCTTGAGTACCACTTCAAGACTTTCCCTTTTACTTAAGCAATAAACTCTACCCCGCTGCCTATGATTTTCTGCAGCTGCAAATGCATTTCTCTTTGCTGAAAAGTTTATATTGTCCAACTTGAGCTTCCCCAATTCCATCTTCCATCTCTGCCCCCTTCCAATCTTTCCCTTTCCTCTCAAAGGAAGACCAACTCTTCCTCCTCTTTGTGACACATCCTCTTGTTGGAGCTCTTGAGCCCACTGCTTTCTGCTTCTGTTTTCACCACATGCTCCCTCTTTCTCTCTTACTCCTTCAGCTGTTTCCTTCTCTCTGAATCCTCCCCTCTGCCTGCAAACATTCTCCGATCTTCCCAGGTTAAAACACATTTCCAGAGAGCTAGTTTTCCTTCACATCACTGCCCTCCCCTTCACCAATCTTCTGGAAGGCATAGTCTTCACTTAACATCTCTACTTATTCACAAACTCAACCCTTTTACCCCAAAATGGGAATTTAAACCTCGACATTTTGCTAAAATTGCTGTCTTTTGAAGATCATGGAAACTGAATAGCTGATTTTCTTAAAGATTTTTTAGTCCTGAGCCCACTTGAATTCTCTGAAGCATTTGGCAACTTATTTTTAACTTTTATTTGAGATCAATTTCATGTAACATAAAATTAGTCATTTTAAGTGAACATACCAGTGGCATTTAATGCATTCATGATGTGGAATCACCACCTCTATCTAGTTCCAAAATATTTTTATTAACCCCCCTAACAAAAAAACTCATAACCATTAAGCATTTAATCTCCCTAATCCCTGGCAACAAAAGATCTGCATTGTGTTTCTGAGAATTTATCTAT